AACCCATATATATGTTAAGGCCTAAAAAAGTAGACCTATGTAATCCAAATATCCTCCCGGTCATTTTTGTGCTGAATTGATACTATGGACCAATTTTCATCGGAAAAAATTTACAAAAAATAGTAAATCTTTTACTGAAAGTCGTACTATTCATAAGAAGTGTGTATGTGCAAATGATGCAAGATTACCACTTGCTCAGATCGATGCCGCATGGTTTGGCAGACACACAGTTTCGAAATGCTGAAGAAGTGAAAAAATGGGGCGATAATTGGATCGCTGCCAAATCAGTATCGTTCCAGGGATTTGGGAAAAGTTGTAGAAAACGATGAAAAGTATTTTATATATAAAGAGAACCAATGGTAGATTTTGTTAAGAAAACAACTACTATGATAAGGCGTAGCAATATTAATTGGTTCACGCATGAATATTGAAATTATTTAACGTTAATAGCCAGAAATTATTATAAAAGTAACAATTATAATAAAATCAAGCAAATGTTATTTTGTCATTAACCAGTAAGTGTATTGTTACGTTTGCCTTATCATTATTCTTAATAGTTATTTAATTGTATTAACAAATGTATAATCATTTTAATGTTAGCAAAACCGCCTTTAATGGAATCATTTATTACTGAAAAGAATTCTTAGCTTGTCTTTCGGTCTTTTTCGTTTCGTTTCGTTTCGAAACATTTCTATAACGACAATATATTTCGCCTAATAATGCTACAAGTCGCAGCAATAAAGTTTTCTCTCAATCATTATTTTTTGAATAGTCAAACGGAAGCTTCTAGTTTGTTTGCCCGCTATAGGCGGCTTATTAACTTGCCGGACTGCTGGTAACACAATAAAAATATCCATACAAGTTCCTATAATCACGATAATAATTTTGATCGTTATGTTTAACAAAAATTTAATCAGCCATTTTTTATTATTATATATATATGAAATTGTTTGTCAATCTTTTAATTAAACAAAAATCTCATTAATTTTCGCTTTTAAATGATGACATTGCAAGTTACTTTAGAGCATTAAATAGCGAAACTCGCTAAGACTTATCACATATCGTATATAAATGAGAGTGATTGTGTATGTGCTTGTAGCTCATTTGCTACAGATTATACGTTAATACATATCGCTACATATCGCTCAATAAGTTCGTAGGATGATAGATAAATGTCGCCACCATTGAAGAATCCGCATGACGTTTAGCTAACGTCAAGCAAAATTTCATGGCATTCTGATGGCTGAGTTGATAAGTTACACTTGCTTTTTTCACATTACATATGTAATTTTCAAAACAATGGAAAGAGTTTGTCCGTCCTAGCAAAGAAATGATTTGACAAGTGGGCCATTATGGGCCAGATTGAAATCGGCAGTTAGACGAGTGGACAGGAACCGGCGAAAGCCTTCCCAAGCGATCAAAATAGCCAAAAGGCAATATTTGGTTGGGCTAGTTACGTCGTCCATAGTTTGGGATACGTATGGTATAATATTTATCGGCTACCTTGAAATGGGACAAAGGATCACAAGCGACTATTACATAGCATTTTATTAGTACGTTTGAATGACGGGACTGAAAAAAGAAAAACAGACCCTGATGCTACGGACTTATTGAGTGATATGGTGTTAATGATACTTGTCTTTAATCTAACAATCAACAAACTTCTTTCTATTTTGAATTACACAAATGTAAGACTTAATATCTGTCGTTGGTAAGACTCTTTGTCTAAAAGTAAAAGCAAAATATAAGGAAATGAAAAAAAATTCAGTACGGGCTGAATAATTTCTCTTTGAAGGGTGTTTGTTTTGAACTTGAAAAAAATCACTGTTCTTTTTTGATTTCTTTTTGATTTAATAGTTCAACAGGTCAAGAATACCTTCGCAAAGTTCCCAGTCAATCGGTGAGATGCAAAACTCAAACCGCTTGCTTTTCCCTCAAAACTGTAGTCTTGAAGTCGTTGATAGCGAATGCCTTGACGCGAACGCACCGACCTTTTATAAATCTTGTACGTTTCTTTCAGCTATGTTTCGCTAGAGACTGAGAGGAGGTTTTTGTTTTTTTTCGTTACAATTTATTTAACGACATAAGCCATGGTATAGATTTGATCAAAACTGATACTTTTTACATGCAACCCTGGCGATTGTTTAAAATTCAATTTTTTTAAATTCTTCTGTCAATCTTGCGCTATATCCATCGACTTAGTAATAGAAAACATTGCGTTGTTAGATTTCAGATGAAAGATTGGCCGGAAAATACCCTGGCCACCTATTGCGAATATCTTTTCCTCTAAAGGGGTCTTGCAAACTGCGATCTTTATAGAGGAAGAATTCGACAAAATATTATTTTTTATCTCTTCACTTGCCCAAATCCCTGTTATACCAAACTATATACAACTAATTGTTTCCTATTAAGATGTAAATACCCATTTTTTGATTTATGAAATGTATCTGTCGTGTTAATGTCTTCCGAAATTGCAGGTGTAGATATATATATAAATAAAAGATATTAGCAAACAGCATTTGTGGCACTGTGTGTTGCTCAATCCTAAATTGAGAGTAAAGTGCAGCTGAAGATATGGGAATCGACAAGTTGGCCTGGAGTGAGATTTTGTGCAAAAATATTCTACTTATGGAGGCGATGTTCGTATAGGTCTCTCCGTCTGCAGCAAAAACCTACGCAGGAAGTGATCTTAAACTTGGATTAGGAACATCTGCAGTTTGCGGAATTATTCTCTAGATCTGTCTCTTTCTGATTAGCAGATCAGCAGCTTACAGAAGTTGAAGGTGGAGGGAATCTCTTGCGAAATCATAAAGTTTTTACCCGCGAGGACATCTGCGAGCCCCTGACCCAAAAGATCATTGATAATGATGATGAATATTTCGATCGACAGCTACTGGTCTAAGGTATGCTCTAAATCGAATAAAACTAAAAAGTTCTCGAGCTAAACGAGCTTAACAGTTTTCGTCGAGTAAGTGTCAAATAAAAGTTTGTGAGGATATACTTATGTAACACCACGAGTAGCTTAAAATAGACCCACCTTCTATTATATCGATTAATTCAAAATTCTTTTTTCTACCTTCGTTTATCTGTCCCGCCGTCCGCCTGATATGTGTCCAGGTATTTTTTGGTTCAACTTGCCGTCTGCCATCTCAAAGGCCGTAAGTGAAATAGGTGAGAAGGACTTAAAAGATGTATTTTAATTTTTACTTATTAGAACCCTACATTGCTTGTGCTACAAGGGTATGTTAAGTTTGTGCATATATATGCAGTATCCAGAAGGAGTTGAGATCAACTTACCAACAACCTTTATTATACCGATCGATTCAGAAGTAGTCTCTAAATCGTTTTAAAGCTTATCTATCCGTCTGTCTGTCCTATGTCTGCAATTTTTCAGATTTTTCGATGAAATTTGGTATAATGAAGTGTTTTGGCCTAAGGGCGAACGCTCGGAACGGACAACTTTTTCTACCGTATCCCATGAATTTTATTTTGAAAACTCATCAGATGAATAAAACGCGTAACCGTGGTCCACTATAGTGATTTAATTCGTGTCTGTGTTGGGACATTTGATGCTTTGTGTACGCATAGCATATTTTAAATGTAGATAATCGGTAGAAGTCTTTTTAAGATGCATATCGCGTTGCGTGTATGTTACCCCAACCAAGTATTGGTATTGGAAAGTAGCACAGATAATTGCTAATCTCGTTAACGAATTCATTTTTTTTTTTTTTTTGATTATCTACTTACTGTATTTAGAAGGCAGAATATTATATCATTGTACGGGCTAGTAGATGGTGTAATATGCGCTCATTGGTTAGTTGCTGCGTATGCAACTATTTCTTGCAGCGTGTGCAGAAAATGACAACTAGTATCTCGCAAATGTATTGGTATTTGTGTGACGTACGTACATTAAGTTATCATTAAAAAGGAAACAGGTGTCAATTATTGAACGGAGTGGTATTCACCAAAAAAAAAAAAAAAAAAAATTGGATAAATGTAATTTATAAAATTGAAAATGATTTTGAGAATTTCCGAAAATCTTTAAAAACAAGTTTACGGCAAGAACACTACTCCAAACAAAGTCACGGCCAGCATTATTTTAATGATGTTATGATTTGTTTTTCATCATACCTTCAAGCTTTTAATCATTGAATAACTACAAGTTGCTTGGTTTAAAGAAAAGCAAAAAATACCAAATCGTCAACTAATGAAGGCCATTAATTATGGCAATAATATAATAAACACACTGTTGATATTAGACATCAATTAAGTATCAACAGTGTTAAGTGTGCTTTATTGAGTACATTTTATCTCTTATCTATAATTTTTGTAGTAATTTATCTTTAACTTGATCATAAGGTGAAAATTTAGTTAAGGAGAACATTTTGGTAAAACGGCGAGAACGAATTTT